AATCGATCATAACTCCGGAACCGTTCGGTTCCCCAGCTTATACGACCACTCGTTGGATGCGGAAAAAGACGAACAATTTAAAAAACTGGTTTTGGTTCAAATCAAAAAATGTGAAATTTTAGTTTAATCTGTTTAAAAGAAATTGTTTGTCCTCAAAAACTGAAAAAAGCACATAAGTTAAGTTAAAAATTTAATTTTGGGATTTTGACCTTTAAAATCTTAAAATATGCAATTTTAGACGATTTTTCGTCCAAACCGGGCCTCAATATCTTGTTTCGTTCGAAAGATATCGAGGGTCACAGGTTTTGACTTCCGCCCCCCCTAGCGCCCCCCCCAAAATTTTTTGGGGATCTGAAAATTTGGGGAAAGAAGCGCTCCAGTATTAGTAACTGATAGACGAAGTTTGAATAAGTTTTAGTGGGGGGGGCGAAAAATGTCGTTTTTGCATACGGCTCTTTTATCTCAACTCATCACGATGTTCGATAATATTGCGATAAATCGTCGTCGATAAAATCGCGACTTCATTGCAAATTCATGCGATGAAACTGCGATTTATCGCAATTTTTCATCCGATGCTAATGCAATAAATCAACGTCGATAAATTCGCGATACATTCTCTGATCAAAGTTCGGAAATCAACTTCTATGCAAGGTATTAACAAATTTTTCTAACATAGATAAAAAGGGAAGTTGCATCACACAAATGACGTCATTTGCAGTGTCGGCATTTAATCAATTTTAATTGTAAACAATGATTTCTTGTTTAGGAGTTAATTTTAAGATTGTCTTGTCAAGTGATTCGTTTCCCTCATGAAATATTGAAGAGATAATATGTTCCACTAAGTCATATCTTCGTCTCGGGACCCATCATTCATGAATTTTCAAGTTTTGCAAATCGCTTTAGCGTCAGATACAATTTTCAGATTTATTTCACACATAAGAACCCACTTTAAGCATATTTAGAACTCGAATAACTAACTCAAATTTTCCAATAGTGTCAGTAACGACCTTTTGCTCTCAGTTACTGAAAAAGTCATAATATAAGAAATTTTAATTTTTAACGGAGACGAGCTCTCATGAAGAAATGTTTGTTTTCTCTAAAACGAAAATACATAAAAGAGACTATGTAAGTCTGGGAAAGATGGATTGATTTATAAGACCACACGAAAAGCATACACTGTATGTTTTCTAAGAATCTCATCTTCGTTTCATTCCTATAACATTCGCTTTAGAATGAAAACCTTGGAATGCTCTAAGGAGACGGTTTCACCAAGTTGACAAATTATTACTCGCTATCAGATAACCAACATTACCGTATACGACTTTTCTTTTCAAAACGGCTCAACAGGGAGAAGTTTTATTAAATAGTACGAACTTCTGATTTTTCGTAATTTTTTTATACTTAATTTTTTGTTTATGTGTGAATAGATGTAGGACCTGATTACAACGGGCCAAGGTTAAAAGACGGTATAGTTTCACTGAAGTTCATGAGGGATCTAGTCCAGCATTTCAGAGTGAAAAAAAGACTGCACTCTAAGTACGCTTACCAAGTGAGTTACTTTATTTTGTCATGTTATACATTTTTTTTTTCATTTCAGATTTAAGGAAAAAGAATATACTCTAATATCTGGTTCGTATCTTTGTGTCTAACATGCTAGGTGGAAACGGGCATATGGATTGCATTTTGCAAAAAGGAACCACTAGCATTGCAATGATGCTAAGATTGTGCAACTTCATCCTTTGCAATAAAATTGCGGAAATTGTGAAAAACTATGAAATTTAGATGGTAATTTTTGTCTTAAATTTACATTTTTTAGCGAGTAAACTAGAAACTATTAAGGGATAATCGGGTTTTTCCTCCAAGACAAAAGAAGTTGCACAATCTTGGCAACATTGCAATGCTAGTGGTTCCTTTTTGCAAAATGCAATCCATATTATGATAGGGTACCTTTCAAAAAATTAAAAAAAAGACAGGTGAATGCATTAATAAGATGCGTTCTAAGTGGTGAATGTGAACATAGCACTAGCGATAGCAACTCAAATTGACGTCTTGAAGTTAATGAAGACAAGAATATCCTCGCAACACATTTATAATATTCAGAGGAAGAATTCAAGTTAAAATATGTTGACCTCCATGCTCCTTGACAGAAGGAAAACTGTCTGACATAGAAAGCTCGGAACAAGATAATCTTGACCCTAATCACTTACGAGCTTGTCCCATATTTTGCAACGGTAAATCTAAGGCCTTGCTCACATGAGTGTGGTTCGCGGAATTTCGGGCAAACTTGTTGCAGGAACTTATCATAACTTAGCTGTAACTTGTTCCCCGAACCCCCAGTCCGTGGAACTAATTCGCCCAAACGCATTGGACTATAAAGGAAGTAAGTAATAGACTAACTAACGGCAACCCACGAGAGACCATATAGTTCGTCCAACATTTACTCCCTTAGTCTATAGGCCACCCATTCTTGTCCATCTTTGTCCCCCTCGCGGTCTATAACAGACACAAGTTTCGACCAATAGGATCGCTTCATGTTCCCTACGTCTTCTTCGTCTATCGCTTTCTTTATCAATTTTAATCATCAGCCTGCAAGCCATCCGTGAGTGAGGGCCAAATAAATGTGAGTAATTTTTTCTAAAAAACGTCGAAGAATACAAATCCTCGACGTTCTTAGGAAGTAATCTGTAGATTATCCTAGTGTTATTCAACACCAGGCACATAATGCAAAATTTTAAAAATCTTTCGTTGCATCAAAAGCAAAAGAACCGTGAAGTAGTTATCCCTTAGTGCTTATAACCGATGAACATGCACTGAGTGTCTTCTGGCTCTCAAGTACGGAAATAAAATGATTTGGGGATAGAATTTTAACGTAGCATGTGTTTCTTAGGTGTATATATCAATAAAATTACAAATGTTATTTTTCTCTGTCCTGTAGATTATACGTAAAATACGGAATTTTTATAGGAGACAGCCGTCACTACTTGAGATAAAAGTTCCGAAAGGTGAGAATATCACCATTTGCGGTGACATCCACGGTCAGTTGTACGACCTCCTCAACATATTTGAGATGAACGGGTGGCCCTCGGAGACGAACAGGTATTTATTCAACGGCGACTTCATTAACCGGGGTCGCTACGGCGTCGAGTGCGCTCTACTTCTCTTCGGATTCAAACTTCTCTACCCCAAAAGATTCTTTTTGAATCGGGGCAACCACGAGAGCAAAATGATGAGCCACTACTTCGGATTCGACGACGAGGTAAAGTTCAAGTATTCGCAAAAAATGCTCGACATGTTCGGGAAGGCTTTCCGGTGGCTCCCATTGGCGCATCGCATCGACAAGAAAATTTTAGTCGTCCACGCTGGCTTGTTCAGCAAAGACGGCGTCACTATCTCTGACATCAAGCACATCGAACGGAACTGTGAACCCATCCACAGTCGTAAGTAAACTCACTAACATTAAACGTCAGATATAAAAACTGACACTTATTCAGTTTAAAGAGCTTTAAAATAACTGTATTATTTGCAAGACGATTTGCGAGTAGAATACGTCCACCTAGATTTTTCCAAATTTCGATTAAAACACAAAAGATCCCCTGAAGTTTAAGTTTTAACATTTTAAGTTCCCAAACCACGAGCGTATACTGTTTCTCTGTCATGATTACATATCGACGGTGAAACTACCAAACCACGTATCTCGGTTTGCGACGTCGCAGACTTCCTGTCATATTTCATTTTTTAAATAGAAAACTACTCAATGTCAATTCGTAAAAACTTCCGAGATTTTTCCTCTTCGTGCGGAGAAAAATTTGTGAAAATTGTAAGGAATGATATTGATTTGATCTCCTTCAAAAAAATAAAATGTGAGTGGAGATTTTTAAACACCGCAAACGAGATACATGGTCTGGTAGTTTCACCGTCGATATGTAAGTGCAAAACTAACCTATAGATTGTAGGTGGACAATGAGAATACAAGTAAAATTAATGCGGAGTGATATCTACTACGGTGAAGGATAAATTTAAGTCCTACATCTCGAGAGATATCACCCCAAATTGATCTCACCCGCACTATTGTTTTCATGACTATGAGCGCTCTAGATACACACTTTACTCCCGAATTTGTGACCGTGAATAATTTTGTCATGCTCAGGAGGAACGTCATATGGGCCCTCGGACGTTGAAAAATTTCCATTGATAAATCACACATTTTCTGGGGAACTAAAAAAGTAGGGGGGATTCTTTCAATTATTCACAGATATTTATTCGTTATTTGATCAGAGTCCCTGAAAATTTCAAGGAAAATTATTCCAAATTTTTCTCCAAAAATAAATCTCATATTGAAAGAAATTTGGTAGCATTTAAATGGAAACAATGAATTCGCAAGTTTCTCTCACGATTTTTTCAGCATTGATGTTTGATATGCTGTGGTCAGACCCGAAGTCGACGGATGGTCGATCCCCGAATTTCATGCGAGGCGCCGGCATAGAGTTCGGTCCTGATGTCACTCGGAGCTTCTGCCGCCGAAACCAAGTGGAGTACATCATACGGTCACACTACCCACCCAAGGAAGGCCACAGAACGGATCACAACAACCGGATCGTGACCGTTTTTTCGGCCCCCAACGACCAAGCGGGAAACAAAGGGGCGATCCTCAAGCTCACTGCGCCTAAATTTGAGCCGCAGTTCGTGACCTTCACGCAAATGCCGGAGTGGGATATGGACCACGGTGAAGGTGTTGAGAGTGATCATCCTATCAATGACAGTCAACAAATTAAAGATACTGCGCGCAGCATGAAAGGCAAACCATCCCCAGTATCTGCAACGTCCAAGTACTTCCCTTAGCGTATCAGTGGCGAAGCGTGAATGATCGATATTTCCTCATTTGAAGCTATGATAAAGAATCGATTATTAAAGTGTTCGTTGGGTACACCCTGATTTTCGATCCTTCTCCATAGGTTTAAAGGGCAGATCAATCTATGTATTCGCAAAACACGCCATGCCACTGCTTAGCGTATGACAAAGTTCGAAGGAAAAAGACAAATGTTCGACCGCAGAATAGATCGCTCGTCGTGCGTCAAGAGGAATGTCAAATCCTGCTTGTATGAAAATTATCATAATTGAAGCGCTGGGTGCAAATAGGGCATTTGGACGTATTCATGCTAAAAAGAACTATGTGCATAGGGTTTGCGTGTAATATAGTTCCTTTTAGCATAAATATGTTCTCTTCTTGTTTGCAGTGTCTCAAAATTTACGCTAAAACGTTTCATCCATCATGATTAAAGCAAATATGTATGTGATTCGTTGTAAGTTTTACTGGATATTCTTATGATTTTACGATTCTAAAAACGTAAAATTCCATGAAATTCACCTGATAGTTTCCTCTCTAAATTCAAAATTAGTACTGAAGATTCTGAAACACCGCAACTGAGAAATGCTGTTTCTGTACCCAATTCCTCAATTACTGTACTACGAATGCGTACATTAAGATGATTCCTCTTCAGGAGTGCATAAAATTGGTTTATCTGACAAATAAATATTTATAATTTTCCACTTTTCCAAAAGAAATTAGAATATCAGTTCATAAACTACAGCAAACAAGCAAAGAGATGCCCACAGATCACAGAATACTCGGCTAACGCGACTTCGAGCATTGGGCGAGATTCTGAAGGCGCTGTGATGCAACTATTCCAGCTCGATGACTGTCCGTGTTGCATGCGAAAAAATTGAAGGCGCTCTTGCTGTCGGCGCGGTCACGACAATTATAGCCTCGCGTCTATTCCCGTTCATTTAGCCTTCATTTGCATGTTATCTAATTGAACACGCTAAAAAATTCATTTCGATTATTATGAATAGCCTCTACATTCATTTATCTACTTTTAGTACATTTATTAGTAATGGTTTTAGTATGTTAACTTTGAGTGAAAAAAGATGTGAAGTCGGGGATTTTTACGGGATTCCAAATCATGGAATGCATGAAGAGGTCTCAAAATTCTTCTCTGAGTTTCCACAAGAATCATGAATCATTTATGAGTTGCAAGTAGAGAAAATTGGTCTGATATGTTTTTTTACCTTAATAACCTCATTAACATGTGAATAGTAGTTAGTTCATGGCTAATAATAAGAGATTGATTTCCCTCTCGACAAATTATGGGTTCTTCTACATTCATCGCACAATTTGTTCATTTTTTAAATTTTTAATTGGAGTTCATAATGCATGTTTTATAAAAGGAGTAAACATATTGCGGGTATCTCTCAACTTTGGCGTTTACGATGTTTTCGGATATTTAAGACAAGAAACTCTTCTCTTCACTTTTTCACTTCCATGAGCAATTTTTATTTTTTTTTTTATTTTTATTTTTTCGTATTATCGAAGTTATCCCTTTTTCGAAATAATCACTAAAATGTGTGTTGCACTAATGACACATTCAAAACGTTCCTCATGATAAAATAATTTTAAAATTTGCGAATGAAATAAATATATAAAAGACCGATGCAATTGAGAGAGAACTTTTTTTCCCCCAACGTTGTTTTCGTGGTGTAACAGCCGCATTAGATATTAGCAGTTTTATCGAGAGCCGAACAAAATGGAGCTTACACTAATACGAGGCCTAATTTATATGTTTCCATTTGCGGTTCGGCAGAATTTAATGCAATCCTCCCCTCGGCCCCCTCCATCGTGACAACAATAGTCAAGGCTATTATTCCGCACAATACGTAGTTCCGTAGGATTATGTCATGGCATTCGACTTCGAGTTTCCCGCAATCGCTTTGCAATTGGATTACATTTTGCAATAAGGAACCACTATCTCTGGCTCTCTCATAAAAGCACGTATCTGCATAGGGAAGCCAACGGCATATATGTTGTTTCTAAAATGGGCCAGAAATAGTGGTTCCTTTTTGCCAATTGTATTCCTGGTTTTCGTCCACTTATCGGGCTTGCAAACTTTCACTGTAAACACATCACTTTTGCCGAGGTGCGTCCAATGTAATCATATGCGTATACACAGTCCGTGTAAACGCAAGAGTTGGGCGCATACAATATACTGTACAGGAGGGTATGGGGGTACAAGGGGGTGGGGTGTGTATTGATGATTCTTACGTTAGAGAAACTTAGTACAGGAACGATCTCCATTGTAATAAAAAGATAATTTTATCAGCCCTTTGAGCCGGCTACACAATATAAATGTAATTTTATTATCAATTAGTTGTAACTTCTCACACTTACTCAGAGAAAAAAATAATAAAAAAATATAAAAAGGAAGAAATGATGTGCCTTAAGCATTAATTGATCCGATTTTTGAGATTCCGTTCACCTATTCGTGAGATGAATAACTCCGAGCCGGACGGATCGTGTTCTGATCTTTTGTGCGGTTCGTGCGCAACTGAACACGAAAGCTGATGGAGAACAAAGGCATAATGCACACAGTGAACATTACACATAGGCTGCTGCCTCGGCATTTGTCTGTTATTATGCAACCTGTCCTACACACGTGCAGTGAGTGAACTCATACGGCTCACTCAACTACGAGCAACAGGTTAGAAAATCAGAGCCCAGAGTTGCCGTTCATCGAATCCTTCCATCGGGAATTCTACTGTGTTACTTCCATTTCCCATTTGAAATAAGAGACATCGTTGGAGAATAACAAATATTATTCGGCTACCTTAGTTAGCATTGTTTGCGGAATCAATAAGTTAATAAATATACTCATGAAAATTAATCGTATCCTCTTACCTAATTTGGCGTGGTAAAGTTGTCCTTTAAGTTTAAAAAAAAAAGAAGAAAAAAGACGTACAGTATTTGGTTGTCATACTTGGGGATGCTTTTGAGAAAGTCGAGGAAAGATTCAGCGAAGTCAAGGGATGTGGTACCTCTAGATCTTTTTCCCGAACAAATTCAATGTGGCAGGGAGCAAAGTTTTAAAAAATTGTTTTTTATATATTTTGCTAAAGACGTGAAGATCTACTCCACTTTGCAACTAATGTAGCTTTAGTCTAAGTTCAAAAAATGAATAAACATCAGGGAGTTAAAAAGAATGCATACCTACTTTTTGACGTAAAATCAGAATATACTTATTCACATAAATCTCAAATCCAGGCAAAAAATTAGACTTTTAAATTTAACTAAGATGGATGTTGAGAATTTTAGATGAGCCAAATGGGAAGTTCCGACGGTTTATATTGATTTCGTATATTATAGATGGAACTTAACTTTATAATGAGGAGCCACTATTTCTGATTCATCCTTAGAACCTCACATCTTCATGGAGGAACTAATAGCAAATACATAGTTCCTAAAATGAGCCAAAAATGATGCTTCTTTTGTATAGTGCAGTCTAATTAATATTTTGAGGTGTGAGCAATGAGATCTCTTCTTAAAACGATGTTGTATCCTCACAATTTTAAAGTTGTTAAAACAGAATGGCTGAATTTAAAATCTGTCCAATGGAGCTCTTGCACGTGTCAGGAATTTGCGATTTACATACTAGTTTACGTAGGTAAAATTTCACGAGGAATACGATGATGCCACTGGTTGTCTCTGAAAGTAACTCCAAAGCTCAGAAAACTCTGAAAGTTGTGACCGTAATGTTATGGTATTCAAAAATAGGAAGAAAATACATTAGCAAGGTTGCAGTTTTGGAGTCCCCATCAATAAGTCAACTCTGTTAATGTATTTGCTCCCCATCTTTGCATAGAGAGTTTGTCTTGATATTAAAGTGGACTCTCAGGGTAGCGTGGGGCATCTCTCCATTTCAATCTCAACTTTGAGAGCTTTTTTTGAGCTTGGGAGTTGATTTCAGAGAAAATCAGTGGTAACATCAAGTTTTTCGCGAGATTTTACACAGGGCCCAATACTTAAGTCCTTTTGGACCGAGTTAAACAGAGAGGAACCAAGCTACATCAGCTACAGCAAAATTTAATTGAGCAATTTAATTTTTTACATGATGACAGTTGTGCGGATTGTTGTGCAAATTTCAGTGAATTTACTGCATACTACAAAGCAAATTCCTCAAAATCTTTTAAGAAATCCGCAAGAACGTTCTCTTTAAAATAATTAAATTGCCCAGTCTTTGACAATAGCGGATGTGGCTCGGTTCCTTTTTCCTTAATGCAGTCCAAATGGAGCCCTTGCATGTGTCAGGAGTTTGCGAGTTAAGTATTGGTTCCTACGTTAAATTTCGCGGGAAACTTAATGGTACCACTGGTTTTCTCTGAAATCAACTCCAAAGCTCAAATAAAGCTCTCAAAGTTGAGGCTATAACTAAGGGACGTCTCACGCTACCCCGAGAGTCCACTTCTATATCAAGACAAACTCTCTATGCAAAGATGGGGAGCAAATACATTAACAGAGTCGACACATTGTTGGGGGACTCCTAAACTGCAACCTTGCTAATGTATTTTCTTCCTATTTTTGAATACCATAACATTACGGTCACAACTTTTGTGTTGAGTTTTTGGAGCTTTGGAGTTGATTGCAGAGAAAACCAGCAGCATCACCGTGTTTCTCGCGAAATATTACGTAGGAACCAGTATTTAAATCGCAAATTCCTAACACATGCACGAGCTCCATTGGACAGATTTTAAATTCAGCCATTCTGTTTTAAAAACTTTCAAATTATAAGGATACAACATGGTTTTTAGAAGAGATCTTGTGCTTGCATCTCAAAATATTAACTAGACTGCACTATACAAAAAAGAAACATTATTTTTTTATACCCGGAGAGTCCACCTCTATTTGTGGCCATGGTCCATTTGTGCCCTCCTGCGGAAAATGAAATGTTCCAGGGGAGAAATGGCAACTGAGAAGAGAGAGTCAAGCTCCTGGCTCGCTCTCAGATGCGGCTCTCTGAGCCCGGATGGAGTATAATCCGCGAATGAGTGAAAGCGGAGCGGAGAGTAGACAGCAAGCCCCAAGCACCTCAGCACCCCTCAACTGTCACTCAAAAACACTTCCGCCTCCATTTTAAATTCATATCCTCCCTCTCTTCCGATTCGCTTCCGCTTTCCCTAGTCATTTCCTCTGTTGTGATTCCGCAGTCATGGTCAGAGCGCCCGGAATATTTTTCCAACTCGCCCATCGAAGTAGATATCGGTGTAATTATTAATTTATGGAAGCTGCTACCCAGCCTCCCCGGATTACTTTCAATGATATCGCTCTGCAATCCCGGGAGGGTCCGTTTAAAAAGTTGCGAAGCTTTTCCGATGTCACTAACGAATTCATGACTCTGATAGGCATCCTAATTGAAAACCTGAGGTGAATTCGCTTTTTCTCGGGAACCGGAGAATTCTTTTAGTTCTTCGCCAGGAGAATTCTGCTGTGCTAAGGAAAAACACCGTATGCATCTTTAGGTATTGCCAAGTTTCCTTTGATAAAACACGAATTCCTCGGTGAAGTAATGAATATTTTCCCTCCGATTTTTTAGATAATTTTGCACACAATTTCACCTGAAGCATCTCAAAATTTCAAGTAAAAACATTCACAACTTTCCTCGATAATTTTTTCAAAAAAAAACATTTTATCGAAGGGAATTTAGCAACTCTCGAATGTTCTTACAGCGTTCTTCCTTAGCACGGCAGAATTGTTGCGAGTGTTTTAAAACTTTTCGCGAGACTGCTTTCAGGAGCAGTCGCATCAATCAATTATAAAGTATGCAAGAAATGAAATGAAGTTAAAGAAAAACGGAGGTGGAGTGATATCTCTCGCACAAAATGTTTTGGTGCCAAGTCTACGGTGCTTCGACAGCCTGCATTGTATCGTTTTTTCGCCCCCGTTAGAAGTAAGTGTTCTCCCACGAGATTCGATTCCACAACTGTTTCCAATGTGATGCCACTGCAGATATCGGGAATTCGATGGGTATCGATGTATTCCCATTCAAAAGTAATTTTATTGTTTGAATTTAAATCGAAAAAAGTCGCACGCAGAATTTATTGAAATTGCTGACAATATCAATCTTTTTCGAATCGCACGGGGAGACTGATGTAATTTTGGACTATTTATGCTAAAAAAACCTGAGACGGCTGAGGAAAAGGGAAAGTGCCCGTTAGTTGAGGGCCGTAATAAATATTGGGAATTATAAAGCGCTAGTGACGTCAGCGGCGATGAAGCCGCGGACGAGGAACTTTAACTCATGAACCCTGTCCACAACGGTCTAGTCACTAGCCCACGGCTCATGAGTTAGCATATTTCGGTGCTTAGTTCATCTTGATATGGATTGCATTTTGCAAAAAGGAACCACTAGCATTGCAATGATGCTAAGATTGTGCAACTTTATCTTTTGCAATAAAATTGCGGAAATCGTGAAAAGCTATGAAATTTAGATGGTAATTTTTGTCTTAAATTTACAGTTCTTTGCGAGTAAAATAGAAACTATTAATGGATAATCGGGTTTTTCCTCCAAGACAAAAGAAGTTGCACAATCTTAGCAACATTGCAATGCTAGTGGTTCCTTTTTGCAAAATGCAATCCATATAATGTTAAGTCACACTTTTCCATTCTCTCAGAAGGAATCAGGGCCACTTTTACAATGTTTCTCATGCAGCTTGCACGAGCACACTCCATCTTTCCCACACTACTCCAGTTCCTTTTAGCATAAATACGCCCATTTGCAAGAGTAAGTATGAAACAATATTGCACTGCGGGCCGATTATTGAAATTGATAGATAAAGCTACAGACAAAGAAGACAAAAGGGATATAGCGGGCTCCTATTGAGGGGAGCGGGTGGTTGTTAATGCCCAAAGGAGGTACGGTAGCTGACTACCTTACGGCAACCCTCGGGGGACCCCATAGTGAGTCCATCATTTTCTCTCAGCCTATACACCCACTTTAACAAAAAGGATCGCTTCACACTCCCTATATGTCATCTTTGTCTATTGCTTTGTCTATATCGATTTCTATGACCAGCAGCAGCGGGCCGATTATTGAAACTGATGGACAAGGCCATAGACAAAGAAGACATAGGAAGTATGGAGCGATCCTATTGGTTGACATGGTTGGTTCTTATAGACTAAGGAAGAAAATGATGGACTAACTGTCGGGTCTTCAGTGGGTTGCCGTTAGTTAGTCTATTACATACCTCCTATGTCCATTGCCATCACCTACTTCCACCTATAGGATCCCTCCAAATCCCTTTTGTCGTCTTTGTCTATAGCTTTGTCTATAAGTTTCAATAATCGGCCCGATGGTGTGGGGAAATTAAATGAAATCTCATGATTGCTCACTGTCAAATGGACCGGAAAACTTGATTGATGAAAGACTCTCAGAGGTTCAGTAGTTACTTCAGCTATGATCAGCTCCTACTTCTCTCAGGTGACCCAAAAAACCAGCTCTTGCGTGCATGTGAAGGAAGAAAGACCCACAGACAAGGGCGATTTTTCCCGGGACGCCCTTGTAAATTAGTAACCTAATTTGTCCCTTGTTGACAAACTACCTTAACAGAGACTCGCTCAGATCCCGTTTCAATTTCATTAGCGTAAACTACTCCTCTGGAATTCTCGTGAACTTGATTAAGGTTGTAAACATGCTGGCATCGGTAAACAATACACCGAACGTTGCGTTTGATCGTAATTAAGTTTTCTGCATCATCACCAGGTTGCACGAATAAGGAGCCCCACTCGTTGGCGTCACATTTACTCGCAATTACGATTTTGTTACCGACTATCAAGTTTTGAAGTAATTGAGGCACTGGCTGCGAAAGGGGCACTTAGCGGTTGCAATT